AAAAAAAAAAAAAAAAAAAAAAAAAAAAAAAAAAAAAAAGAGCTTTCTAGTCATAAGGCCTCAAGGTGTATCCTTTGGTTATGCAACAACTTCCTAACGTAGTTCTCCCAAAGGTTTAGATCCTCAAAATGAGATTGTTTGATAGCAAGGCATTTTTATCCTCTACTGCTTAAAACCATTCTCACCCTTAACCACTTTCCCTATATAGATACCCCAGTAAATAGCTGTAAACATCAGCATTTCGTGGGCACATCCCACACTTTAGAGTTTATTTGAATGGAAACCATTGCAGTGCCAGGGAAAAAATGACTCAGAACCAAGGCTCTGACTCTTTCACATGCATCTACTTACAGACTGGGAAAAAAATCTGATACTGTTAGGCCTTAGCACCTCAGTGGTAAATGCCAACTGGTAAATAGAGTTCTTCTCTGAATGCCTCTATTATAAGCAACCTATCCACAGGGTTCAGATCCAGATAAAAACCCTTCGAGAGGGTAAAAGATACTATGATGTGGAGAGTGGGCTTTTATTGTTGGGGTTTCAAAATGCTCTGAGCGGAGCACAAACACTCTGTTTCACATACCTAATAGAATTCAATCTAGATAAACTGGGCACATGTCACCTGAGGGGCTTCAAAGACAATATTTCTTCAGACATCATTCATTCCTTCTACTCCTTTGGTGCATCTGTCTCTACTGACAGAAACTCTTATTTTTTAAAGAAACTAAAGCATGAAAAGAGAGTGAAAAAGCTAAAAATTGATTTGGCAACAGCTAAGCAAGAGGCTGCCCTCACAGTCCTGGAACTAAATGAGAAGATAGAGACTCTATGTGAAGGAAAACCAGCCCCTAGAGGTCAGTATTACCACGTGACAGTTACAAGCTGGCCCATCATCCTGGGTGATGTATACAGTTGTTTTATTGGCAACAATACAAAAAATGAGGCCACAGTGCTGGGCGGCATCCTGACCCAGCAGCATGCTGGCCTGGCCTGACCCTCAATCGGTATGAGCAGAGAGCACATGAGCTACTGACTCCAGGCTGGATTCCCTTTCACCTTGAGCAAGGCAGAGAATGAATAAGCTGAAGAGCTGGATGGAAATAGATCTGAGAAGTGTCGTTGGATGAGCTGGGTGGCAGTGAGGGAAAGACAGGGCCTAAGAAGGAAGGCACGACACCCTGAGCAGTGGGGCTCTGGAGTAAAGAGGAGCACAGGCTGGGAGAGTAGAACAGGCACCAGGAAGAAAAGAGGTTCTTCTATCCATAGATGAAAGAACCAAAAGCAAATCAGAAAGGCTGGTTGGGAATGATATCTGGGTAGTTCAGAAAAATTTTAATAGCCTCATTGGTTTTGATTTTTTAAAGAGACTTCTCCAACTAAGAGACTACAACTACACATTGAGGGAGAAAAAAAGCCACCTCAGATTGTCATCATTAGCAATACAAGTTCACGTTTAATACTATGTGCCAGGCATTTTGCTAAGCACTCCATGTAAATCCTCAGAATAACCTCTGAGGTAAGTGCATTCGTGAATTCCACAAGAATAAGCAGAGGCTTAGAAATGTTAATTACCTTGCCCCAGGTTAGACATGTGCAAGTAATACTTGGGTGGTCAGCCTCCAGAGCAGCAACCTGCCCTGCACCACGGCAACAAGGACAAGGGTTCAGTTCCCTGTACTAGCCAGCTGCCAAAAAAAAAAAAAAAAAAAAAAAGGGTGCCTTTGATAAACTGACATTTCCTCCCTGCTCTATAGCAGCAATACCAAACTTTATTTCTGCCTGGTGGATCTCTTGCAAAGCTGAGATAAATGTCTGAAATAAATCTCTTCCTTTGATGTATGCCACTCTTGCAAAGCCAGGAACATGCCATTGTTCTTAACCTGGCTTCCTTTATTACTCATGCGTAATTCTGGAAAAAGAGGAACAAAGTGGAAACAAATGCAGGAGGAGGTAGGAGGCGATATGGTGGCTTCAGAAAGGGAGACACTCCCAGCATCCTTCAAGCACATACCAATGATCAATTTTTTTTCTCTTTCAACAAAATAAAGACAGTTTATAAATTTGCTTTTACTACCATGGAATGTAAAAGAATCAAATCCATTAGAGAATATTATGTGTTTAAAGTTCTTCATGCGAAGGCATCATAGCAGATTTTTAATTGGTTGCATAATAAAAAGCTGACAATGGTCTTGGAAACCACAGAAGAAAGTTCTCCAGCTTACTTGAGAGGTTTTCAACTTCTCAACTGCATTTTGAACCTAGTGCAAAAAATATTATTGCAAGGTATCTAAATCTTGTTAATTTCATTTTTGACAAAAATAATATTATTTACTGTCTAAGGCCAACTTTGTCCAACTTTTTTTGGATATTTTGATGTCAAATTTAAATAACACAGAGATACCAGGACTGTAATCGTCTGGGGGAGGGGAGAAAACATTAAATTCTGCCTTTCCTTTGTTGCCCATTTTTTCCTCTATATTTCTGTTTGTTTAAAAAAGCTATCAGTACAGAAAAAAAATAACCTGATATATTTATGAACAGACAAAAATTTAAACTTAAAATAAAACCAGTCATTCTAAGGTCCATTATAGAACAAAACAGTGACTCCCTTTTGGACATACACGTTGTTTCTCTTATTTATGGGAGAAACTGAGTTGGTGAACTCACAGATAGCAGTAATATCTTAAATATTTGTACATTCTTACTCTCCCATCAGCAGATTAACCCTAATTTGATAGTCCAGGAAATTTTCAAAGCCATCATACCCTCAGAGTAAAATTAGTTGGCATTCTCAGAGACCTTGGTCACTTTGCCTTACCTCTCAATTCTCTTCAAAATAAAGTCTGAAAACATGTCCAGTATCTTTAACACACAATGATCCCCATTTAACAACAGAACAATTAGGGCTGACCCACCCACGCTGACACATTTCTGGACCTAGAGCACCACCCCTCCCCTACTTACCTTGCGTCCTTTTATAAAATGTTTGTTTTGGGTTCTCATACCTCTGTTTGCAAATGACAGATGCCCCAGTCATAACAGCTTAAGGAGGAAGGATGATTTCTTGGTACATGTAAACAAATCAAGAAAGAGCACGCCATTAGCCTTAGAGTCCAGTAGATTCAGGGCCTTCGATGCCATCAGGACACTCCGTGTCACTCCTTTCTCCTTCTCTCTGCACTGAGACTTCATTCTCTCAAGCTGGGTGTGAGAAAAGACTGGAAAGATGCCCATAAGCAGCTATGGGCTTCCCTCCTTATTCTCTCTCCACCAGACAGGAAAGAAAGCATTTTTTTCCCACCAGCTCCAGTTAGAAAAAGTACTAGAAAGACCTCTGTCCCGGCTTGTGTTGGGTACCCATCTCTGGACATGAGCCAATCTTTGTGGCCAGGGGTAGGGAACTATGGTTGGACAAGCTTTGGTCATGGCCACTGGGTGGCAGGGAAGAGGGAAGCAAGGGTGGGGAAGGAGAATGTTCTGAGCGGCATCTCCCACCAGAAGCCCGGAGTTGGACTCGGAGAGCACCTCTTACTTAAAGAAAGGGATAGCCCATTACTGGAAAGAAGGAGTGATGGACAAAACCAGCATCTCCAATACGGTCTCAGCTGGTGGTCAAGTTAAAACATAATGTAACGCTTAATGAGTCACCCATGCCATGGGTATTTGCACTTTAAAAGTATATTCTTCATGATGAACAAAAGGCCTTCATGATCCAAGAAATAAATCTCCACTGGTATAATTTCAGACCCTGTAATAGATGGAGAATGGATTACTTTGGGAAAGGAGTCCCCTGCTACCCTCCATCAAGTGACAGATACATTGTCCTACTCTGAAGGCCTGCTGTATTGCAACAATTCATATTGCAAGAGGGGAAAAGTGTGTTCATTCTAAGTGACATGCCATGTTACCTGGATGGACATAAAACTACTTCTTTGTTATAGTTACAAACTGATGCTTACAGTCCTAACAATGAAATGAAATATTGTCAAATAAATGAGAACTCCTTCTCCTGAAGTGTTCAATTTTTCCTTGTTTGGTTCGTTTTCTAAGCAACCAATTGGTTGCTGTTCGGGTCTTTCTTATGATCAGAGGGATGTGCTAGAATATTAGGAATATTTTTAAGCATATTTATGTTCAAATTGATGAAACAGCGAGTTACCAAACTTTATTTTTCCCCCACATAAGCACAGTATACTACTTTGTTGGCTATGAACTTAAATTACCTCCAAGGAAATAAATGATTTAAGTCATTGGAAAGTTCAGCTGAAAAGAAAAACACATTTATTGTAAAACTGGCACAGCAGGAAACTTACTTACAGCCTGAATGTTTGTTGATTTTACTTTGTGCAAATAATCGCAACCCCAGGCAGATTCCTTCCGTCTTCCACAGACTGCACCTGAAGTGCTTGCAGCTTTATTTACTAGCAGAACTCAGTGAAATACCTATTGTACCCCTTCAAAGCTTGAGTTTACTTTTTGGTATATTTCAGGATGCAGGAACCTAAGTTAAATTTCAAAACAATCTTGCCTCCTTTGGCTTAGGAGGACAAAGGTAGACTTTGCAAAAGACCTTAGTGGCTAAGTCCTATGTTTGGTGCATGAGTGGTCAGCTGATTTGATGAAAGCCCCTACCTTTGACCAGAACATCAGGAACCTGACTTACAGTTTTCAAGCTAGCATACTTAAGGAACACATCCTTCTGGACTTTTTCTTTTAATTTCTTTTAATTCTTTTTTTTTTTTCTTTTTTGTGACCGCACTCTCCCGAGTGAGCCATGGGGTCGGCCCTTCTTTTCTGCTAATATGCACAGCTACCATGTAAAGTATCTAGCCCCCACATACATGTATGTTTCCATCATCCCAATAAAAGTTATGCCAACTCTTAAGTGATCTCTTGGTTTTACTCCCATTAAGAAGACACTCTCTATGTAGTGCTCGCATCCCAGTGTAGGTATATTCAGGATTCAATGTCTAAATCTACCTAGTCACACTTTTGAGGGGAAGCTTGTAATAGGATTGACGTTTTAGTGATTTTTAGTCACAAAAGACCAATTTTAAATACCAGACAACTTCTCCCACTAATTTTAAGAATCAGACTATTGCCATCCTGCATTCTTGAGAAAGTCAGGAGATATTCTTCTTTGTCAACATCTCAGAGCCAACTCTAATCCACTTTTTAAAGAATATCTTTTGTCATGATGCCACCCCCAGGCACTCAGCCCAAACCTTCCCTCCTCTGTAATGGTCTTTTTATCTCTCTTTCTGCAAACTTCCCCAGGATCAAAACTGCACAAGTAGGTGTTAAGAAAACAGGGATTTGGGGGGTGGTGAAAATATTCTGGAATTAGATATGGCAATGGTTTCATAACATTGTTAATATAGTAAAACTATTGAATTGTACATTTTCAAATGGATAAAATGATGCATTTTATGTTATATGAATTTTATTTCAATTGAAAAAGCAAGTAAACAGCAATTAAAATAATCCTCACAAAGATGTAATGACTAACAAACCTGTCAAGTGTTAAATATTTAAAATATTTAAAAGAAAATTTATTTTAAAGAAAGTGCACTGATCCTAAACAAAATCTTGACTTGGTAGAATTCTAAGCATTTAGAGAAAGGTCATTTTAATATTTATTGGAGTAAGACCAGTATTGAATAGTTGTCCATTTGTGTCTAGGGGTTTTAGACAATGCCACCCTCTTCTCTTCTATTTTCTCTCACCACAATTCTTTCAAAGCTTTTATTCCCCAGACTAGGAAACAATTACTTGACCAATAGTCCTGCACTCAACCTTCTTTCACCCCTGAATGTAGATATTTATTTTGCCAGTCTACCTAGAGTTTTCTAAG